TTACATTGCAGAGGCCAAAGTTTAAAATATCAACATGCTTTATATAGATTAAAAGTATTTATACATAATATATACTTAAGAATTTTTTTCTTTCAGGGGTCATGGTCTCCACCAGCCCCTCCTTGTCTCCACCCCTGGCACTGATAATACGTATTAATAATTCATAAAGAACACTTCTGTGGGATATTGGGGTAATTTGAGCTTGCACCCTTTTTACTGTTTAAATTGGACTTTGAACACTGTTTTTTTAAAAATTTTGTTTTTGCACCCTAACCTCATGAAAAGACAAAAATGTTACAATGTCCCTCCATTAACAATTCCGTTAGTCTTCAATAGGGGTGGGCATAACAGTTTGGTTTAACCGAACAGAATCGTACCAAACCGAACTAATCCGAACCGAAACCGGACCGTATGCAATTTGGTTTGAGTTTGGTACTATTTCTTCCAAACCGTATTAAACCGAAACGAACCGAATCGAAACTGATAAAAACCGAATAAAACCAAACCGAACTAAAAAAACTCAAAAAAACTTTCATATATTATTAAAATTGGTGGTTTGATTTGGTTTGGTTTGGTTTGGTTTGAGTTTACTTAAGTAAACCGTTTGGTTAACATTTGCTCAAACCGAATGATTTGGTACTTTGGTTTGGTTTAAAACGGAAAAATCGTAAACCGAACCGAACACCGAACAACACACACACATATATACACTTTGTATTTATCTTAACTCTTCATTTTTAAGATATCAATAAATAATTTAGACATGAAAATACATATTTAAGCATATACTCGTATCATTTTAACTTTTACACATTTCATACATTCATTATGACAAAGTTAGCTAATACGACATATTTGTTTTTATTATGTTTGGCGATCACAATAACAAATTGCATTTATATTTTTACATGATTTGAATAAAATTGTGAATATTACAACATTTGTACCAACGACTCTTTTAGGTTTTTTTGAATGTTTTATGTGATACAGAGTATTATTAATGCTAATCAACTATCTTACTTTTTGTAAGAAATGAATTTTTTGTAGTGATAAAAAAGATGTTAGAAGTTTTAATTTAATATATTTTATTATTTATTTTTCTATCTTTTATTTCCTTTTACATTTTATTTAAATAATCAATAAATTAAAAAAAGATGAGATGGACTACTACTTTCATTTTCTAATTCTAAAATATAGAACTTGATCAAATAAAATAATAAACATAAGTAAACGAATCAAATCAAACTAAATTAAACATTATATATTTTACTTTGGTAAACCGAACCGAACCGAAACCGAACCGAAACCAATCCGAAACACAAATTGTTTTAGTTTGGTACAAATTCTTCCAACCCGAATAAACCGAAACCGAACCGAAACCGAAGAAAACCGAACCGTAAACCGAATTGCCCACCCATAGTCTTCAACATATTCCTGATTGAGAGACATTTTGTCTTTTCATATGGGGTTGGGGGTGCAAAAACAAAGATTTTAAAAAATGAGGTGCATAGTATAATTTGAAGAATAAAATGAAGTGCACTCAAATTACCCCTTTTAGTAAATGTTGTCCGTCAGATTCATTTGGGAAATAATACAAATATTTTGTACCCCTCCTATGTACAAAGCTACCCCATTTTGTACTTCAGTTTGTACCCCCTCCTATGTTTGTGGTTCACAAAAGCAATGAGTTAAAATGGAGCAATTATTTTAATTGGGTTGGATTTTTGTGAGCCACAAACATAGAATGTGGTACAAAATGGGGTAGAAAATGGGGTACCTCTAGCATTTCTCATTTCTCTTTTGGACTAGTAATAACCAAACGAGTCTTGATATTGCCAAATTGCCCTGGGAGTCTGGGATCAGCCAGTTCTACACTTCTACTTCTACATGACCGGGATCAATGCTACCCGTCTTGTTAATTTTAGACAAATTGGTTGTAAATGGGACTAAATAAGACCGAATAAGCTGTCATAAGACTGCTTTTATTTTTTATCCTAAATAGGACTCAATTTCAGAATTATTCCAACTTTACCTTAATGATGGTACGCTGCTCCACTCATGCCCAAACCTTATCTCCCTATTCGGTCCACTCATATCCCAAAGGCCAAAACCCCATATCCCTCTTCGTTTCTTCTTCTTCTTCTATACGCACAACAACAACCTATAAGCCCATCAAATCTTCTTCCTCCTTCCATACACCTCACCTTCTCCTTCCCTACAAATCTTCTTCCTACCCCTTCGCACAACAACAACCAGACCTAGAAGCTCAGCCATAGCCATCGTCAACGCAGATATGAAGTCCGCCGCCGTCGCCGCCGAAGGTCTTCTTCTCTGCCGCCATCGCCGCCGATGGTCTTCTTCTCTACCGCCGTCGCGAAGGACACCGCCGCTGCTGCCGGAGATAAACCTTTCTTCTCAGTAGACCTGCTTCTTCTCTGACTGTTCTACTCCGTTTCTTCTTTCATTGTTACAAAATGTCAAATTAAATCTGAAAACGCCGTATAAATGGCATTTTTAGTCTTAAAAAATTTGTATTTTCATTTGGAAATGCCATTAAGCTGGCATTGTGATAAAAATCTTGGCATTTACGCTGGAAACGGACAGATCTGTAACTGAGGAGGTCAGATTTGTAGCAGCGGATGCCAGATTAGTTGCGAAAGTGGCATTCTCAGTAGATCTGCTTCTTCTCTGAATGTTCTGCTACGTTTCTTCTTTCATTGTTACAAAATGCCAAATTAAATCTGAAAATGCCATATAAATGACATTTTTACCCTTAAGAAATTTTGTATTTTCATTTGGAAATGCCATTAAGATGACATTCTGATAAAAAACTTGGCATTTACGCTGGAAAAGGGCAGATCTGTAACTGAGGAGGTCAGATTTGTAGCAGCGGATGCCAGATTAGTTGCGAAAGTGGCTGGATCTGAAGAGACGACGGCCGACGGCCAACAGAGGCTCAATCCGGCGACGCCCTCTAGATCTGCAATGGCGGTGGGCTGATCTGTGACAGCGGCTAATTTTTTAGGTTGTCGGCGACCGGCGGCGACCGGCGGCGACCGGCGAATGGCTGTGGTCCAGTGTTGTGGTCTGCGGGAGCATGACTTCTAAGCTTCAGGGGTGTTTTGTCTAATTACAAATAATAACTCTTATTTGGGGATTTTTTAAACTTTGGTCCTAGTTTGGCAATTAAAGACTGATTTACTCCTATTTAGGTAAATACCTCTTAATTTTATCGGATTCATAATCGCCCTAAGGTTATAATCGTGGGAAATCGAGCCGGTTTAGTAGCCCCAAAATCGGCTGTTTTGACTGATTTTGCTGAAATTTATGAAGTTCTGGCTGAAGTGGCTTTATTGGCTAATTCTGCTGTTTTAAGAAAAAAATATTTTAAAATATAGTTTATTAATAAAATAAAGAAAAAATATATGTAAAAATAGCTAAAATAGTCATCTACGGTAACTTCAGCCAATATAGCCAGAAAAATAACTCCAACCTTACTTTTTCTGCTTATTACACAATTCAGCGCGCGCAAGCAAAAATTACGTGTTTGGTGAAAAAATTGGTTGATAAGCCGAAAAACAGTGCTGCCAAACGGCCTCAACGTTTGCTTAATCGTGTAAATGATATTTAAACTACAGTAGTTTCATCCTAGATACAAAAAAATCTTCATTTATATAAAAGTGATCAATCAAACATATACTACAACTTAGAAATCTTTTAATTTTATAATTATTAGATTCCCTTCTTATTTAAATATTTACCGATTTCCTTACATGAGATGGTCATCATAAAATCTCGCAATTATAATTTGACATCAGAGAGCCCACACCATACGGTACAACTCTACAACCAGTTATAAAGTGTTCACCGTACAATCAGATATTTTATGTTAAAAATGAGTATAACGTTGAATATTAGCATTAATTAAATTGTAGTACAATTGAGTATTAAAAGCATAAACTTGAGTATCATGATTTACACGTGCTATATATGCTACGGACCAATTTATTCATTTAGCTATATATATTACGGAGTATCATTATATTATCATCAAAATATTTATTGTGCTATTTTTATAATTCAATATCAATACTCAATACAATCAGTTTTTAAGGATTCACTCAATCATGCATTCAATTTTTACCTTGGAAACTTATAATGCTTTCTACAATCTTGAAGTCACCAAATATATTTATTCACTTGGTTACTTTTTTTTTATCATATTCACTTGGTTACTTATAAAGTACGGTTACGGCTACAATAATTTAATATATTTATTCATTTACACATGAGTGTCAATTACTTACTCGTATATACTATTGCGTGTCATTGTTATCAGCTAAATTTTTATATATGCCTACCCGCGGGCTTGAATTGAGCTTGTTAAATACTCGAACCAAGTCAAACTCAAATCGAGTTTGAACTAACTGAACTTGAGTCGAGTTTTCTCAAACTATCTATGAGCGGCTCGCCAACGCCTTTGACTTATTTGCACCTAGGACATTTAGGACAATATACTCCATATTATACATTTATATTGCTTCCATCTATAAGAGCATCTTCAATGTTAAAATATGAACGTTGCATACGCGCGCGACATGAGAGATAATCAATTACAAACCAATAAATAGAATATTTCTCTTCTTATTTGAAGAATCTTATATTATTTTGGTAAGTTTTTCTTTATAATGTTAAGTACAATGACTAGATGTAGACATTGTGGTTGACTTTGCAAAGAAAAACTTACGAAAAAGACATAAAACTGTGGAAAGAAGAGAGAGAAATGACATAAGTATAATATTTTGCGTCTATTTCTCTCATGCCGCATACGTACCGTGCACATTGTAATATTGGAGATGCTCTAAAAATAAAGTTGGCACACACGTGTCTATCCAAGTCAACTTTTAATTGTGAGACGCAATGCGTGACGCAACAATGACATCTATATGTATAAGTAATATTTTATTATGGATATTATTATTCAAGAAATAATATACTGCCTCCCAAGTCTTATTTCTTTTTTCGTATAAGATAAAGACTCCATTTTGCAAGAAGTCAAGAACTTATTTTATGGATATTGCTTTCAGCTACTCCCCTGGTTCCAGACTGGATTGATGATTTATCTGCCGGTCCTGTCTGTAACTGCGCCAGAGTATATAACAAACAACTGTAAATATCATTATTACGGAGTATTGTTCTTTATATACAGAGTTGTGCCCCGTACTATTTTACTCCGTTTTAATTACTAATTGCCTCCGTCTTCACCACCGCCCGCCCGTAAGTCTAGAAGCTGGATCGCCCCAAAGCTTAGAGGTAAGCTTCCCGCTGTCACAATTTTTGGTTTTCCGTTTTATTTTAATATTAATCAGAATTTGCTTCTTCTTCATTTTTTCCAGGATTTTTTTTTTATTGAAAATATAGATTGAAAGATTTATTGGTCTAATTGTATTGCATTGAACTAGATGTTATGATTCTGCATTTTATCTAGAACGATATCATTTTTTTTAGTAAATATGCAAATTTATGATGCTCATATTAAGTCAAGTCTATTCTAGACTTGTAGTAGGTTCTAAATTTATAATATGCCAAATAGCTGCTGAGTTTTTAGTATATTCTATCTCCATTACACAAGACTATGCGTAATTTCCTTATCTGCATAGTTGAAACATTCATCATATGCACAAGTGGATTCATTGGGTCTGAGATTTTAGGGGAAACATGATGTTTTTTGTTTAATGTGTTTTCCTAAGAAAACTGAATGAATGGCCCAGGAGGACCCATGAAAGTCATGTTAGTACCAAACTGCTATTTTTGTTTCACCTGCTCTCCACGTGGACCCATGACCGTCTGTAATCATTATACAAGTATGGATAGTGATATATGTGGGGGTAGATTGGTAGAGTTAGGGAATGGTTCAGAACTTCAGGGTAAGCGAAGGTGAGATAATTTAGGGAGTAAATTCAAATGGTTTTACCACTTTTGAGTCTTGTCAGCTATTAAACACCAATATATTAGATATAATCAGACATTTCAGCTAGATTAAACCCACAAGGCAGTTTCTTAAGACTAGACAATAGGATTGTAAAGTGATTAGGGGTAGTTTACACGATTATTGGCGAGACAGGGTAAATTTGCCCTTGGTGGAACAAAAAAAGTTTGGTGCTCTATTTTAAAGTTTAGTACTCATGTTTTTCCAATGGAGTCTGACAATGGTCCTTACCTCTTCAATTCTCCGCTTTGTGTAAATATCAAATGAATGTTCTTGGGGATTATCTTTTAATGATATCAGAGGTGGAGCTGGTAATGGGTAGATTTGACAGTATCATGGCAGCTTTGTCACACTGAGATATTTTCTCAAAAATGAAATAACGTGTATGTGTATCAGGATGAAACTAGTTGATAAATTTCAGAAAAGTCCTGCAACAGTAAAACAAAGAAGCTAGAAAAAGTAGCTTCTTGATTTGAGCTGTTTTTGTTTTGTCGGTTTTCGATCCAAAATGACGGTTTACAAACTCGTTTTTTCCCAAACACCTCCTTAAACATGTTTGCTAGAACTTTGGCATCATAGTGATTTTCTCAATGACAGAGATGTTTAACCGAAATTTGGAAATCCTCTTTATGCAAATTGGGAAGCAATGCTCCTCTCTCTTTTGTTCTGGTTTTACAATAGTATCCATTTTTGAAAACAATATACTTCTATTTTTTCTGTACTTGACACATCTCCTATAATCCTATTTTATTGAATAAGCCATTTTTCTCTTTCTAATTTGATTCTCTCATGAAATAGTAGCTGATGGCGTTTATTTTTCCCAGGTGAACTTCACTTTGTTTGATGGTTACATGGCTGCAATCATTGCATCATAGAGAAAAGAAAAGAGTGAAGAGACAGGATAAAACAAAGTACTTCCATTTACCTTTCAAAGCGAGCAGATTCTTGCAAAACTGTGAGCTTTGAGTCTAAGAAGATGTCTACTGCCTCTAATGGTTTTGAGAATACTTTGGCTCCAGAAGAACAGATGCAAAAGGTAAGATTATATATTTTAAACTGGTTCTCTTTATACATATGGACATTCATGAATCGTAATTGGTATTCTGCTTCTTCTTTTCTTGTGAATGAAGATTGATGAAGTGAGAAAGTCGATTGGACCAATTTCTGGTGAACTGGCTTTGTTTTGTTCTGATGCATCCATATCAAGATATTTAAGGGCACGAAACTGGAATGTCAAAAAGGCTGTTAAGATGCTTAAAGCAACGCTCAAATGGAGACTGGAATACAAGCCAGAAAATCTTCGCTGGGTATGTTTACGTTATATTTCCTGAATCTTGTTCTAATTTGAAATTGGCGTTTATTTTACATGCATGATATTTATGGTAGACTTTCTGTCAATCATTTAATTTTCAGTCATCATCTTGCAGCTTTACCATTTAAGTGGACTGGAAAAATAGTATGGAGTATTTGATTTTACTGGTTTAAAATCTATTATAATCTGTGCTGTGGTATGCATTGAGCATTTGATACAGGACGATATTGCTTCTGAGGCACAAACTGGGAAAATTTACAGGTCAAATTATAAAGATAAACTTGGGAGAACAGTTCTAGTTATGAGACCTAGTTACCAGGTTTGTTCACACATGCATAAATATGACTTTTCTTTATTAAAATTATAACATTAAAAAGTTGTCAAAATTAAAGAAATATTTTTTTAACTTTTTGTGAAATTTGTGCGCAGAACACAAAATCAACTAAAGGCCAGATCAAGTATTTAGTGTACTGTATGGAAAATGCAATTGTGAACCTTGATGATGAGCAAGAACAGATGGTTTGGTTGATTGATTTCCATGGCTTTAATATTTCGCACATTTCATTGAAAGTTACCAAAGAAACAGCCCATGTTTTGCAAGACCATTATCCCGAAAGGCTGGGATTAGCCATTCTCTATGATGCACCCAAAATCTTTGAACCCTTTTGGAAGGTAATTCATCATCCATCTCATTTCTTCACATTGTTGTATGAACTAATACACACATATTGAGAAGTATTCCATTTAGGCATGACTGTCATGCAGTGGCATATCTAACACCTCAGTTTTGGGTGCTCGAATTATTTTATAATTAAAGTTTTAAATAATAAAATAGTTTGATTAAATAATACTACACATACATCTTCTCAACAACAAGAAAATTGGTAAGTGAAGCTAAAATCATGAAATATTGTACAAGTAAAGTACAACGAATTATTACATCATTTCTATACATGTATTTTTGCACTTCTACTTTAAAGTTTTCGGTGTTCGTATGAACACTTTCGATCATATATAGCATGCCCGACCCTTACCAAGAGCAAACGGTGCAATTGAACAGGGCCCCATCTTCAAGGAGGCCCCCCTATTCTTGCTATCATATACGTAGTATATATTAGGCCTTAGGAAAAATAAAATTTTATTAGTGTTGCGTTAGTCCTTTGGAGCATGGATCTGATTTTTCATAAATCGAAACACAATCTTCTGGAATTCAATCAGTCCGAAAGGTTCCCAAGAACGAGGAGGCGAATTCTTCTCCTTGGAGGTACGAGGAAGCTTCCAGGGTTATCTTAATTTGTTTCAAAGAGTTTGAGCCTTTAAAGCTTCTTTTCAGTTACTTTCTTTTAATTTCTGACAATATTCAAGAGCTCAAAGCCTTAGGCAGAGGTGGGATTGCAGGAGGCCGAAGTTCAGAAGAGCAGTGCAGAGGGAACTTCTCAATTCCTTCTGAGATTGCTTCTCCTGCCTTTTACTTTGTTTCATTTTATTTTATTTTTATTGTCATACGGAATATGAGTGCAACTATATTTTAGTATTATTATGGATGGAAATACGGAGTATAAATTACTATTACTAATATTACATTTTATATTTTAGGGCCTCCAACATAGTTTTGAACAGGGCCTCAAATATGTCAGGACCGACCCTGATGTAATTTTTCATTTTGGCCATAATGTTGCTTAGATTTTTTTAGTATCAATCGTTAATCATTAATTGGCACTAGGGACTCATTTTCTTTCGTTTGGAGTTAATCTAATAGTTAAGATTAAGTCATCATTAAAAATGGAGTTATGTTTAGTGAAAATGAATTATTGATCAATTGACCTGATATAATGAATAAATTTAATATTTGATAATTCATACTATGAGCGACATTATTTGGACTATTGAATTTCATTAGGTCATTTCCATTATTTGCAATGGAGCCAAAGACTCACTATTTTTTGGCTTAAGAATATGATAGAATAAAGCACAATGACTCACTAAACTGTCTGTGCTTCTTTGTTACTATCCTCCGTTCTTTAATTCTTGCAACAGTTCAACTTTCACGTTTGTCAATGCATAACTTTGACTGTAATTATATTTAGTTACGTATTAGTAAACATTATAAAAACTTGATATTTTGAAAATTCACATTGATAGGAATTCAATAACATTTTATACGTAATAATTTGATTATGTATGTTAGTAGAACATCGTGATCAAAGTAAGATCTATGAATAGTGCAAAAAACACAATGTTGCAAGAATTAAAGAATGGAGGAAGTATAAAGCAATAGTCAGTCCATGCAAATTTTACGCGATTTTCACTATGGGTATCTAGGAACAGTCTCTCCCTGCTTTAATACAGGGGTAAGGCTGTGTACATTCAACCCCCTTACCCCACCGTAGGTGGGGGGAGCCTTTGCGGCACTGGGTTAATGATGATGAATTTCTTTAGGTCGAAATCGAAAAGCTGGGCATATTGGAATTTTAACCGGATCTTTCCTGTATCCCTCTTTATGTGTGTATGCATCACATTGGTTTGTTTGATAGGATGTACATGTTGGGTAGGATGAGAGTTCGAAGTTTTGTTACCTTAGTATAAAACTTGAGGAAGTAAAGAAAAACATATACATATACATAGAGAGAGAGGGTGACAGAGAGACCGTTATTATTACATAAATACGGAGTAAAAGTGAATGATATTGCAGGTGGCGAAGCCGTTTCTGGAGCCTAAGACTACAAAGAAAGTCAAATTTGTGTACTCAGATGACCCGAATTCTAAGAAGATGATGGAGGACCTGTTTGAAACAAGTCAACTGGAAACCGCATTTGGTGGGAAGGGTAGTGGAGGCGGCTTTGATATCAACGAGTATGCAGAGAGGATGAGAGAGGACGATAAGAAGTTGGCCGCCTTCTGGATGATGGTAAAAGATTATTACAGTCATCATCCAGAAAGTGGTGCTGAAGAACCATCAGGGGTCCTGTGTTTAGATACTACTAATTCGGGTTCAGATTCTGATGCCGAGAAATCATCATCTTCAGTTGCTGGTGATGATATATTTAAGCTTCCTACTCAGCATGATTAGACGGTGCTTATTCAACTGCTGTGCAATAAACTATATTTCCGGCAAGACCTTTTTTCGTTGCTAAATCTCATGGCAAATGAGTCCATTTTGTTGTAACTGTTCACCCTAACAAGCAAACAGCTCTCTCTGATCCCATGTTAATACTAATTAGTTCTAAATAATACAGTAATAGAAATCAAGCAATACGCCAAATTTCTGCAGTTTCAATGCACACTGTCCCATTGTCCAAATTTTGGGGATCTTCTAACAACTCACATATAAAGACATTAAACTACCATTCTTGTTCGGTCGAACTTTATTATGATGTTTCGAACCTTCACATAACAATTAGATGAAGGTTATGTTTGGCACGCATAAGTCCTCATCTTCTAGCTTTTGTATTGTTCAAAAAGTTTCTAAAATCTTCTAGTTGTATGTTTGAAATGACAATTTTAAGAACTTTTCAAAAATTAAAAGATCTTTTTTGAGATGCTACAGGGAGTAACATCTGAGAAAAGCTCGTGACTTTTAGTACTAATTAATCTTAACAGCTTGTATACCAAACCGAACTAAATCAAACAGTCGGTGTTTTACCAAATAGCTACCACTTTTTCTTTTTAAGATCTTTTCAGTTATTAAAAAGCTCACAAAAGTATCTTTTCAGCTAGTTGTGTGCCAAATATACCCTAAGTCTGAAAAATGAGTACATGAACTTTTATATTGGTCTCATATATATATAAGGAGCTACCATCTTAATGAACAATCAAAACTATCAAGCTACAAACTCAAATATTGGTCTAAGATTTTGAGTTTTTAAGATTTTGGGAGACTCAAAGCTTGATTAGGGAGAGCTATAAATGGAGGGTGGGAAAGGGTAATTGTATTAATATTTGGCGGGATCCATGGCTTCCTTGTACTATTAATCCGAGAGTTGAGTCATCTGTGGCTCCAGGACTTGAAAACTGTCTAGTCGAAAGCTTGATGCAGACTGAAGGGGTGGGATGGGAAGCTGATATTCTTAATGATTTATTTAATGATAGGGACAAATTGATGATCCGTAGTATCCCGCTAAGTCAGAGGCTCGTTCCAGATAAACTGATTTGGCTATGGGAGCCACATGGGAGGTATACGGTAAAAAGTGCTTACCAAAGACTGACGGAGGTTGGGGGAGCGGTGCAGGGACTTGGCTAGACTAAAATGTGGTACTTTCAAATCCCCCCTAAAGTGAAGACTTTCTTTTGGCAAGTGTGCGCAGGCTGTTTACCTACATCAGATAAGCTAGTGGCTAAGCGAGTTAACTGCTCTACACAATGTGGGTTATGCCCAGACGGAACTGAAAGTCTTATTCATATTTTTTATTCATGCTCATTAGCGCAGCATGTCTGGTCTCTAATGAAGTGGATATTGCCGTTACCTGGAGGAATGGATTTTGCAGGTTGGATTCAACGGTTTTTCGAATCTGCGAAGGAGGAGTTTTGCTGCGATTTTATCATGCTGGCTTGGGGAATTTGGAATGCTAGGAACGACCTGCTGTGGAAGACTATTTCTTCCTCTCCTGGGCAGGTTGTTGCTGCCACATTTAGTTTCAAAGATGCATGGCGCCGAGCTCAAGGTTTGAACAAGTCTGGCAGCAAGATTCAATGCTTGGAAAACTGGATAAAGCCAACTGCAGGTCGGTTTAAGGTCAACACAGATGCAGCGATTAAGAAGGGGGCAGGAGTTGTCGGTTTAGGGTGGGTTGTGAGAGATTGGGAGGGTTCTTTCATGGCTGCTGGTGCAATTTGCTTTACTGGAGATTACTTTCCCCACGAGGCAGAGGCTTTAGCCATGCAGGAAGCAATTAACTGGATCAAATGTGAAGGGTGGGCAGAACTGGAGGCTGAGTCTGATGCGGCTCAACTCGTTACATCCATACGGGAAGGGCCTGATGATTCATCTTTAGGCTTGATTGTTGGCAATATTATAGAGCTATCAACTAATTTTACTAGTTTTAGTTTTGCTCACGTGAGGCGATCAGCGAATAGGCTAGCCCATGAATTAGCTAGGGTAGCCTGTTCTTTGTCTGGTTGCCACGTTTGGAGAGATGCTCCTTCTTCATGTATCTTGTCTTCTTTGAACTTTGATATGATGAATAATAGCTAGCTGAGTTTTCATCAAAAAGAAAAGATTGAATACAAATTTTAGGGTGTTTGGATCTTCTTAAAATGATTTATTCTCCTTAAGAAGCATATATTGGAGTGTTTAAGTTGCACGCAAGTACTTCTTAGTGTTTCAAATTGCTTTTAGATGTAATTTTTTATTATATTTTCGAAAAATTGATTTTGATTATTTTTTTGTTTTTTTAAGAAAAAGCGAAAACAATTCAAACACCCCTTTAATATGTTCTAACTTTTACTAAAGTTATTTTATTGGAATTATTTGATTAAAATGAATCAAAGGCCTCTTAAGAGATTGCAAAAATGACATTCTTAAACAATGTGAAGTAGAACGAAAAGCAAATAAAATGAGTTGAATTGAATGAAATGTGTATAACAAATATTCCCTCCACGAACAAATATGTTATCTATTACTCGGTAGGTTATTAGTTATTATTAGGTTATTAGTTATTATTAGTAAACAATAAAAATTACGTTATCAGTTCGTATACCATGCAACCGTCCCACGGTGCGCATGGTATACCTGGGAGAGCTAAGAAGCAGTTCGTATATTTTGGCTTTGTTATTTTTTATTGCTCCTTTTTTTAAAAATGTTAATAATTTTTTTATTTTTGATCCGATTTTTATAAAATTTATATCAAATTTTTTTATTTTTCATGATCTTTCAAATGAGACCAATATTGCCTATGTAATTTTAACATATTAACATTTGCGTGTAAAAATATGTAACTTTACGTGTTAAAATATGTAACTCACGTTCAGTCGGGCCAAATGCAACTCGTGTGTATAAATATGTAACTCTACGTGTAAAAATATGTAACTTTACGTAAAAAATATGTAACTCGCATTGAGACAGGTCAAATGCAACTCGTGTGTATAAATATGTAACTCGCGTGTATATAAATATGTAATTTTACGTGTAAAAATATGTAACTTTACGTGTAAATATATGTAACTCGCGTTCAAGCAGGTCAAATGCAACTCGTGTGTATATATATGTAACTCGCGTGTAGAAATATGTAACTTTACGTGTAAAAATATGTAACTCACATGTATAAATACATAATACAATAAATTTTTTATATACACAATTTTAAGATAAATTGTGGATTACACAATTATTTTTCTGTATTAAATTTAGTTCAATTTTCCTTATAATCCAATACTCATTAATATAATAGTTCGATAATTTCTTAAAATTACATAAGCAATATTGGTCTCATTTGAAAGATCATGAAAAATAAAAAATGTTGATATAAATTTTATAAAAATCGGATCAAAAATAAAAAAGTTATTACCATTTTTTAACAACAAAAGCAATAAAAAATAAAGAAACCAGGCACAATACTCCGTCGTTTTGCAACCGGGCGCACCATCCTCATGGTGCGCCGGTTGCACGATATAATTTGCGACACTACTACTAGCAAAATGTAAAGTTTGTCTGTATAAATTATGTGCTAGACCATCTTTGGCTAATATATTTTGTTTTGGTATTTTGTTGATCATGTGAATCTTTTTAAATTTATTTCCTTATTTTTAAGCCTTTTGTACGTTATAATAAGAGTTTACTGCTAATTCAGCTTTTTTCCTTGTATGTTATTTATATCCTTAAGTATTGACAACATCCCTTTGTTACTTTGTACGTAGTATTTGTTTTACCTTTTCGGGAAATTCTACTAAGATTGTCTCATACCAAATTTGGTAAAGTTTGTGTGGTTCTAAATTATTCTAAAGTTATTTTTACTTTATCAATCTGATATCAACCACATAACCACACTTTTCTTAATAATTGTGGCACCTTCTCTTGTCCCAATCTTAGTGGGACGTAGGTAGTACTCGTATGGGGTATTTTAAAGGGTAATTTGAGTTTGCACATCATTTTATTGTTCAAATTGGACTTTGCATCTTGTTTTTAAAAATCTTTGTTTTTGCACCCCAATCCCATATGAAAAAACTAAAATGCCCTCGATTAGGAATATGTTGAAGGCAAATAGAATTGTTAATGGAGGGACATTTTGGTCTTTTCACATTGGGTTGGGGGTGCAAAAACAAAGATTTTTAAAAACGGGATGCAAAGTCCAATTTAGACAATAATATGGGGTGCAAACTTAAATTACCCCTATTTTAAATCATTTGACTTTGCACCCCACTCTTTGGGTGATATTGGACTTTGCACCCCATTTCAAAAAATCTTTGACTTTGCACCCTATCATATAATATTTGTGAAGGAAAATTTCTAAATGGGGTGCAAAGTCAAAGGATTTTGAAGTGAAATGAGTGCAAAATCAAAGTTTTTCTAAAATGGGATGCAAAGTCCAATATCATCCAAAAAGTGGGGTGCAAAGTCGAATTCCCCCTATTTTAAAACTAATGGCCTGTTCAGTAGCACGAAAATCGGCTATTTTGGCTGATTCTGCTGAAATTTATGAAGTTCTGGCTGAAGTGACTACATTAAAGAAAAAATTATTTTTAAAATATATTTTATTTTTAAAATAAAGAAAAAATCATATGTAAAATAGCTAAAATGATCATCTACAGTAACTTCAACCAATACAGCCAGAAAAGTAACTTCAACCTTACTTTTTCAGCTTATTATACAATTCAGCGCGCGAAAGTAAAAATTACGTGTTTGGTAAAAATTAGTGGTCCCAAACGGCCTCTAAGGCTGCAGGCACCACGAGTTGATGGACAATTTTTTTAGGTAGATTCTATGGTATCCAAAAGGTACCATACTTTTGTCCACTTGGATCAATTAAAATGTTACAGTTGAATTATTTAAATCTAAATTAAAAATGATTTAATGATTTGGACAAATCATGTGAATGGTAGGCACGATACCCTATTTTTTTAAATGAGTACCGAAGTTGTCACCTTTTTTTATTATAACTATTAAAAAGTTGAAAGATATTCCAAGTCTTTTACATTACTCGTCTATGGTAAGAAATTGTTACCTATTGTGAATTATATTATTGCCTTGTACGTATGTTAGTATGTACTGCGTATATAAAGACACCATGACTAAAAATGCTCAACTTTTTTCCTGGAATTAGCTACAAAGGATTAGACATGTCTCAGAAGGTTTCGCCATTGGTAATGATGATGACGGTTTTG